TAAAAATCGATCCCATTCCGTCGAAAGGGAATTTGAAAAAACTCCCTCGAAAACTCGATTTTCCTCAAAAGATCTTTCACGAAAGTTGGGTGAACAAAACCAACAACGTTTGAATTCGCCAACATCCTCGTTAAAAGAACACGAAGCGGCGGCTCAAAGGAGAGAAACGAAGGAGCAATCGGTCCCATCTGGTGCGTGGTCTTGGCCAGCCACGAAATTGCGCGGCTTGTTATTTAAAAGAACGATGGATATGGGGGAGACAAAGATCCTCCTTTTACGTACGATTTTCGCTGAAAGCGGCGCGATACGATTTTTCCGTCAGACGCAAGAACCGAGGACCGAGAAGAGAGGGCGAAAGAAAGAAGAGGGAGGAGAGTGAGAGAAGAAGAAGGGAAGAGGATGGAAGAAAAGATTTGAAAAAACGCGGCAAAGATAATCCCTCTCCCCATCTCTACCTCCCTCCCTCCCTCCCTCCTCTCTATACCTTCCTCTGAAAGCTTAAATTTACCACGAGCATTAACTTACCCAAATGGTGTACGCACGCACACATACGCACGCATCAAGTTGGCGAATACACGTATTAATTTAATTACTATAAAAATAACCACTATTACATTTAATTTCCAATTAAAAAATTTAATTATTATTTAATATATATAATTATTTATATCATAATATACTTTATTATAGTAATATTAATTTCAGCAATTTTATTAATCTTAAACAAATTAATTTCAATAAAAAAAAAATAGATTATGAAAAAAGATCACCATTTGAATGTGGATTTAATCCAATTACTAAAGCTAATCTTCCATTTTCTCTTCCATTTTTTTTAATGATGATTCGTGATTCTTCCAGTTGAAAATAATTTCTCTTGTGATAACAACCTCCCGATGGGGCAACGCTCGCTCACGAGAATTACAGCTCCGCGACCGGCTCAACCGGAATAAACGCTTATGGTACACTTTTTCCCTCCTCCCCCCTCCTGTGATTCGAGGTATTTCCTCGAGAGGAGAGATCTCGATCGACGTGATACAGAACGTGATACTTTGTGATACTTCTATTCGAAATAGTCGAAATAATGCGAATAGTCAACCCGTCTTTATATTCCGATGATTATCGTCAATCCTCTTCGAGTTAATTTCCTGCTCGACGAAGAGAAATGTTGTTATCGAGATGATAAATTTTTAGAGAGAAAAGGATTTCGCGGGAAAGGAACTTCGATGGACGGATGGGGAACGTGATTGATTGCGTTTCCGGCAAGACGAAGGGTAAGGGAGAGATTTTTGCACAGGGTGCGAACGACTCGAACTTCCTCTTCGCTTCGGATGAAAATTTTCTTTGGAAAAGAAAAGAATCGGTACGCTTCTTCCTTGTGAAGCGTGAAAACGAGATACGAGAACGAAAGGTCGAGGTTGTTAGGTTTTAAGGTTAGGGTAAGATTGTCGAGGGTAATCGAAGCTTTAGATTTTTCACAGTAGCGTCTCGAAGATGTTACGATGTACACGTAAAAGTGTGGAGATTTAATTGCGAAACCGTTGTGACACATCGTCGACGATGTTACTATTACATAGATGAATATGAAAATTGATTCGATCAAGTAGTTTTTGACGTGTAACGAAATGCTTCTGGTGGCATTCCAATTTTAAATCAATTGACATTTTAATCGATAAATTACAGCATCAACTTTTCGAAATGAAACGGAACGTATACATGTGTACACATATATATAAGCCATTGATTGAATTTAGTGTCGATACTTTTTCATCAATTTCGAAATGATTCCATTTGCAAAAAAGGATGATTTTCTTCTCTTTTTTTTTTTTTTTTTTTTTTCTAGGACATTAGAGAAATGAATTTTTCCCGTATTGCTTTCATTCATTCGATAACACGTATGATATCACCCTCCTCTAAAATGGCCCATATTTATCGGGGTTGAGCACCAAGTTAAACCCTCCGCGATACCGTCGATCGTTGGCGCGCTTCACGTTGTGCAAACTCATAATCGTCCCGATTCGCGAGTCCTCAAAGCAACCCTCGAACTTTCCCGCCATAGAAGGGAAACTTGTTTGACGCAGCCTAAGGCGGTTCCAAGTCTCACGTCAAGGATTTTGGACAGTGCTTAATGTTGCTCCACTTGCGACTGCAATAAGTCTTCGAGATATACTCGAAATCCATCCCCCTCCTTTCCAATTTCTAATTAATCACGCTCTGAATCCTTTCAGATATCGAGCAGATATCATTCTTCTTAAAAAATATACAATTTTTATACACGCTCCTCTTCTTTTTTAATACGCACTATGATAATCCAATCTCTCATGCGCGAACACTTATTTTTTGATACTTCTCCTCTCTATCTGTTCTACTATTATTTTCCATTATTTTTACTTTTTTCATGTTTCGTTTTTTCATTATGTGACCCCCTCCCCTTTCACGCTTCATATTTACGATTACGATTATTTTATGTCGTCACTTATCTCTCCGTACAAGCGAATTTCAAAATATATCTGCAATTTGTACAGATAGATGGAAAAAAACGGGAAACGTGTCTCAACTGGATTCGAACCTCGAATATATCTCGTTCGAAAGTCCAACTCATCACTCTGCTAACCATCTTCCCTATTCTATCTTTCATTATTATCGATAATTTCCATTTCCTCTCTAAATTTCGCAAATATTCATAAATATCCGCGAAAGATGATTAACGATGAAATTTCCACCATCCCTAATAACAACGAGAATTCTTGGAAATTCGGTTTAGCGAATTAATGGGCCGGGATCGTCCCGTTATTAGGTTGCCGTAATTCGCGCGAGATAATTTAGTTCTTAAGTTACATTAAGCACACACCCATTTTACATCTGTTCTCCGCCTTCCGCTCAACGGAATCTCAACGGCAAACAAAAGGATCGTATCCATTTCCCGCAGATCTCCTAACTCGTGACATCCCCGTAGGGATATATTCTGTGCGCACGCTGGCACACCTTGCCAGTACTACGTGATTCCGTTGTTTCCCAGTCAACCGAAACTCGTCGCTTTATTTAATTAAAAGCGGGAGAAACGCTTTTAACGTCCGCGAAAATGATAAATCACGTTTATTATAATGCCGTCAGTTTTCACGATCGTAATATACTGCACGATAAAACGATCTTCTTCTTCCTTCTTCCGTACGTAACGCGTTCCTTATTTTTCCTTTTTTTCATCAGAAAAGATAATAATAATCGGTTCAAACGCGCTTTCTTCCCTGATGCGTATCCACAGATTTCCACTCCTTATTCTCGCTTCTTCCGTTGAGAAAAAAAAACTACTGAATCGCATTGTGCTTATAAAAAAAGCATTTTTTTTCAAAATCGTTCGATGAAATCTTGTTCGATCGATCGATGAATCATCCTCGAATTTCTCGTATCGTATCGGATACGATTTCTTCTCAATATCTTTCCGATATTAATATCGAATTGATTATTGAATTATTCTCTGATCGAAGCTACGTTACCAAGTTTCCCCTTCCATTCATAGGATTCCATTTGACGTTTCCCCAGAAAATTTTAATCCAAACTCCCCGCGAGAGTTTAACGCAACCTCGGGGAGGGGAGGGGGTGGTTAATCTTCGAAAATTTTGATCTCTTCGTTCGTTCGGCGAAGCCACCGAAAAGGATCTTGGATCTGAAATTAGATGGGCGGGGCTGAAGCTTGTGAATACCAACCACCGGCCGCCATCTGCGAACCGTTGGCCGAACAATCTTGGAAACTGCGGCTCGTGCAACGCGGACTGCAATAGTGTCGCGTTCCAATCTTTAGAATCCTGTACATTCTCCTCTCCCTTTTTCTTTTTTTTTTTTTTTTTTTTGGAATTCAACCGCAGGTCCACTGTTGAAACGAAATGGCCATTTTTGTTAAATTGGCAAAAACAATTATCCGAATCCCATCCGTTCTTTGTCTTTACCCTTTTCCTTAAGGAGAAAAATTCCTTTCTTAAATTTCCATCTTTCCATCTATCCACAAATCGGCATAATTTAAATTCAAAAGAATTAGAAAATGAATTCCCTCGTTGCGTGGGAAAGGGGCAGTGACATCGTGCGGCGTCGTCCGTTTTCCGCAACGCGGCCAGGTTCCGCTCAAGTCGAACGTCGTAGAAAACGTACGAGAAATCTGCGAATTCGCAAATATAATCAATGATGTATCTTCGTGTTACGGGGCGTGTTTCCAACTTCGCCCCAGATATCCACAAAGCCCCCGCGGCGCCGAGGCCGGGGTTTCGCCATTACCATTTGGTCGGAGCAACGAGACACGCGCAAAGTACTAGGAGAATAATTACAAGTTCGTTCCATTGAATCCGGAATGCGCTAAACAACGCGGAAACAGCCGCATTGCGATTCGATGATTAATTCAATCTCTGGCTAATGCATACTGATCCAGCCTGTGCGCGAATTGAATTGTTTTAAATGCTCCCCCCTCTCCTCTCCCTCTGCCCGATGATAAACGCGCCTCCACCCGTGGCCCGACCCGAGGAGATTTTGCAAATTTACGGAAATGGTCGCCGGAGATTCTCCGGCGGGCGGGGTGGCTACGAAAATGGTGGGCCGTGGGTTGGATAAGAGATAGGGATTGAAATTTAACTTCCTGCGAAGATGTAACATTAAGATTGGAACGGATTTAATCCTCTTTTTTTTTTTTTTTTTTTTTTTTTTCTTTTAAAGATTTAGATCTTTAACGTTTTCTGTCCCGGGCGGGTAAACTCCTTCCTTCGCTTCGCATCAAAAATGTAGCGGTATCGCGCGAGTTTCGCATGTACGCGCGAATAGAATTTTAGTTCGTTAACGATTACGCAATTATTAGACCACTGTGGTATCCGTTTCTTTTCTTTTTCTTTTTTCTTTTTTTTTTTTTTTTTTTTTTCGTATATGGTATATTGTAAATCGTTAAAGTCAGTCTCGTTCGAGATTTTAAGCAGTAAAAGCTTTGTTTCGTTTCGGGAAAAAACGAAGCGAGCTTTGTTGTCGATTTCAAGGTTTTGTTTTTAAACGATTCTTGTCCTCTCGTTTCTTCTTTAAGTAGGCGTCGTGCTGTACGGTATATTATAAATCGTTAAAGCCAGTCTCAGTTCGAGATATTAAACCGTGAAAGTCTTGTTTCGGGAAAAAACGAAGCGAGCTTTGAGAGATTAAGAGATTTCAAGGAGTTTTTAAACGATTCTTGTCCTCCTGCCTTCCGTTTGTTAAACACGCAGTTATCGAGACGAGTGATAATTTGTATCCATGACGACACGTCACGTTCGTACGCCTGGTTCGGCACAGCTGACGATGTACATCGTGGTCGTGTGCTACCTCACCCCGTGGGTATCGCACCCCGGAGTATCCGGAGTGAAAAACATCACCTATGGGGTAGCGAGACACCTTAGATCTATTGGATTTCCCGAGGGCAGCGGCACAGGGGTGAAGTATAGAAATAAATCGTTTATCTTTCGATCGACTAATGCTATTATTGATATTAAACCCGGTCACTTAAACCCATTTGATCTTTTTTTATCGGAGAAACGCATAAGATATTGAATAAGTCGAAGAGAGAAATCGCGGAATAAATGATTCTTACGTTTATGCAGATATTCTTCGCCCTTGGAGTTCCCGTTGACATTCCCGACAAATCGGTGCTATTTTCTCTGTATTTCGAAGCGAATTACCTTCTCCCAGGGGAATGGAGCTCCAATTATTACTGGGACGAGCCGAATCTCAAAAAACGAAGTCTGGATCGACGGCTGGCTTATGATATTCTTATTAGCAAATTGGAAAGGTAAAAATATCGTGGTTAGAAATGAAATTAGATTGAAATTGAATTGGATTAAATTAAGAAGAAAAAAAAAAAAAGAACCTACGATATTTTCGTTCACAGTTTCGGTTATTCCGGGGAAAATTGTCTGCAAAAAATGATCTGCGAAGTTGCCAACTTTCCTCTAATTAATAACGGTGTGCTCGGCGATGTCCTGCAAATTTTATTTACGTGAGTGCTAAAACATATTTTATATGAAGTGTGGTTTAAAAAAATTTTTTTTAAATTCTCCACTAAATTAATTTTGGAAGGCAAGTGATAACTTTTTCCTTTTTCTTCGTCAATATATTTGATGATAGAATTAAAAATTAATCTATAACGCGATATAATTTTTATCACAGACCATCCTCTTCGCAAGATGAAAATCTTCCGAGCGGGATCACCGAGGCTGAGTACGCGAAAGATTGCAATAACCGCTATAAAAAATGCCCTCAAAGTCCATTAGCCTTGATAAGGTATCATGATCTCAACGATAATAGCTAAAAAAGCCACGGTTATTAAACGCAATCTTCATAATTCGTGGCACTACAGTTCGTGGCCTGTCGTCCGATAATGAGTCTCGTAAAAAAAACAAGATGCTTACATCTCTAAGATAAATAATAATTTATCAACATCGAACGATACATACCATTTTTTTTTTTTGTACAACAATATTGTAATATTTATTAAATCGAAAATACATGCGTCTCTTTCCTCTCATTACGTATTCGCATGATTCGTTTTTCATTTTAAGGAACATTTCTTTAATAATTTTGTTAATAAAAGTTTCAACCGAGTATTCGCGAGTACGAAGGCTGTTCATTAAAAAAAAAAAAAAAAGAACAATTTATAGTAATACTTTCTTATATGTATAAAAAATGAAGTGTTTAAATTATAATTGTAACTAACAACGATGAGAGATTGAAAATGATCGAAGTAAAAATACTTAAGAACTATGGAAGAAGAATATTATCGAAACCGCTTCTTTTTGAAAAAAAAAAAATATATATATATAGAGAGAGAGACATACGCGAAGCACGTTGTTATATAAAGAAAAAAATAAAATTTCGAATATTATATACAAAGATATATGTGTATGTGTGCGTACACAGCTTGTTTAAAGTAATTTCATCATGATGATATAAAATTAAACGACGTTCAACGTCTCGCAAAATTAATAATAAAAAAAAAAAAATCCTGATAAATATTAATAAGTTCAATCACTCTATTTACAATATTTTAACATTGTAACTTTCATAAATATAAGAATCGATATCTTAGATTTGTAGACACAGAGTAATGCCAGCGAAACGAAAATTTAGCCAATATTTAGTTTGCTTGTAATTTGATTAAATGCATTCTATTTATGGATTATTGTAATTTAGCTAAAATTTTCGTTGACAGATCGATAAATGTCTGTGTCGATTGATTTAACTGAAAATAAACATAATTATCAATTTTTTTAAGCTTCACCGGGCTTTTTTACAATGAAATTCTTAAATAATTCTTAAATAATTTCTAATAAATATTATTTTTAATTCTCTTCGAGTTTCTTCATCAAAATCGGCAAAGTTCGCTCTTCATCCCTCGTTTTTCTATGCTGAAGATAGTGAGACACATTTTCGTATACCACAAATGTGATCACGGTCGCTGGAGTCACCCTGGTCAGGTTCGCAGACAGACCCTTGTAAAATCCATTCCCACCTTCAAACCTGCAATTAACCACCAGCAATACTGTTTTGTTAATTGCTTCCTTTTTCCTTTTCATCATTAATTGCGCGAAATGTTTCTGAACTAAATAGCACGTTCTCATTCGCACTATGAACCGGCGTACGATTCTTGTCGTGATTTATCGATCAAAGCATCTATTTTCTTTTAAATGCAATCGTACGTCATGAAAATTCTAAATCGTATATAATTTCGATATCGTTATTTCTTTTCATTTCATTTTCATTCAATTGTTTATTTCTATTCAACGATCATTAATTATCATATATTTTTATATATGATAAATGTGAATTATCTTGATAAAAAAATCACGTCCAATTAAACATGTGCGATTAAAAAAATGGATAAAGGTATTTCTTAAAATCAAGACAATTCCAATTCTACATGGTTTATTTCTTATTCAGATAATTTCACCTCGATGATATGTTGTAGGTGTACATACAACGTCATAAATTATATATGTAATACGTCCAAAAATCGTACCGCTGGTGGTTTAATAAAAGATCCGTCTAATCGCAATTACATTCCACGATGATTCACATCCATTCAACACACATCTAAACACACAAGTAAACACAATGCTCTCTTACATATTGTACGTGCGTTATTAATAACTGTGGTCCCGCCACAGTAATTAATTCGTAGTAAAAGGGGAACAAAGAAGAGGCGATCAGCTGATCGTACGAGACAATCATCCGATTCGAAGAAAAATATTTAAATAATTGAAAAGAAGACCAGTGTAAATCTCATATGAGATTCCTAAATTGTTAATCGATAAATATTTTTCTTCCATTAAGCTCCATAAACTTTACGCACAACCATCAAGCTTTGCGCTTACTATTGCGGGAAAGAAAGAGCGTCTAAATAATCCAGTAGCTAATTTATACTGTAAAACAATTAAGTTTCCATTAATGTTTATTAAGTCACTTATAGTTTTTAAGTAATGAGTCCCATTGTGGAAACATATATATATATATAAATAAATTGTATCTATTGTTTGAAAATTGCAATGACATTGAATTTTATTGCTATATTCTTAATTATACCGAGTACCAGACTCTACGGCGAACTTTGCAACATTCATCTATTGATTTCTCAAAATGAGGTACTTATTCATTGCATACAGAAATATAACATAGGTAACATAGATAAATTGTAAATAATTATTACATTCCTACGTACATCTTCATTTCGATTTATTTTTATTAGGGACTTGCAGCATTATTACGACTTGTAAATCACGCAAAATCCATTTTGTCTATTTCGCATAAAAAGAAATAAATTGCAACTATTGCGCGAATAGCAGTTGCAATTTTGTATTTATGTGTAATGTTTTGTATCTTTCGCCAGTTACAGTTATACAATACACTATAAATGTTTTAAAATAAAATCATTCTTAATTCAGTTACAAATAATATTAATTTATGATAAGTAAGATTATTAAAGTGTAATTTCATGTTTAAAAAAAAAATATTAATACATGATAGATATATACTTGAGTGCCAGCCCAAAGATACATTGCTATAAAAAAAAAAAAAAAAAAAAGAAAAAAAAAAAAAAAAGAAAAAAAAAAATTAATTGTCCGTACGATCCGAGCTTTGTTTTCTTTTTTACGCGCTTTATAAATGAAAATAAAATTATTATAAATTGTATATGCAAAATATCGAATAAATAAAATATATGATCTTGATTCGTACAAATTATTGTATATTCCAAAAACAGAATCAATAATTGTTCGATATAAAATGATCTAAAATGATTTGTTAATTAACTAAATTTTCCTATCGATTTATTAAAGAGATCGATTATTATATGAAACAGTCGTCTAACAAATATCATAATAAAAGACATATTAGAGACTGTTTCTATTTTCTTTAATAACAAATAAAAACATATTAGTGGATTGCTTGTTCTCAAAAATAAATTTAAATAAATTACACGTCTATCCTCGAATATCAAGGCATTTATCATTCAAAAACTTTAATAAGATACTATTGTTAAAAAAAAATAAAACTATTTCCAATAATATCATTTGCTATATAAATATCTTAAAAAAAAAAAAATCCAAAAAATATTCTCTAAATTAATAAGCACTGCATCTGTTATAATTACTATTTCTTTTTTTAACTAATATTGTTGAAATATATTTGATTTGCGAAGAGAATATTCAATGTTAATTAATAATATTTTTGTAATTGATACTAATAAAAAATGAAAATATAAGTTTAAGAGTTGATCCAGACTATCCAGACTAAAAACCATTATTTTACTTTGTCGTTTGTATGAAAATATATAAATAATTTTTTAATACTGTTTCAAATGTATCTCCAACTAACGACAAAAAAAAAAAAGAAATAAAATAAAAAATTTGAGTCACAACCCACATATGACTGTCTCGAATAAAAATCATCTTCTGGATACCTTCATCCATCTACAGATTACATCTAGGGCTGGAAAAAATTCAATACTAAAGCATAATGCTATCCGGAAAATTATAGAATATTTAAATAAGACTAATATGTTTGTATGTTCTACTACATTAAAAAAAAATCTAAAATAAATGTAATCTAAAAAGTCAATGAGAATTTGTAGGCACGTTAGAAAATGTTTCATAAATTACGATAATTAAACAAATATTTGGTGTCACGTGTAAAAGATAGGGTGTCAAGCCCTTATAAAAACCCCTTATTCCTTCTGACCTCCATATTGATTGAATACAATGTATGCTGCCACTGTAGTTGTGATGATGGTCTTGAAGTCGTGCTCTAACAACTTGATACGGATAAGTCGAAGCGGCAGCAATTAATTTTGAAACTGCTGCAAAGAAAATATATTCCCATGTGCTCTGTAAATAAAAATATTTTTTTCAGATTTTCCATCAAATAAAAAATTAATGCAATATTGTATATATATATACAAATAATTATTGGATATTAAACGTACCAGCTTCGTATCGATCGGAACATTCAAATAATTGTTGTACCAATTCTTCAATTCTTCGTACACCATAAATTGAATAGCACCATGTGAGACGCCAAACATTCCAGGTACAAAACCCTATAAATATCCGAAAATATTTATAAAAACAATTAAATTAACGTTCAATATTCCATTTTTTTTTTTTCACCGAAAAGAAATTCACTTACTCGATACAAGCCTCTAACTCCTTCGGTTCTATAAATCTTCTTAATTGCATCTATCATGCCATTATATCTAAGTGTTTCCGGAAGATGCTTATCATCCATATATTGCAAACATAAACGTGTCTTTACTACCCATAATGGATTTGTCATAACTAAAGTAAGAATTCCAGCGTCCGCTGCTGCAAACATATGCATTGAGGGTCCCAAAGGTTTTCTACTATTTCCCCCTTGGATCCATGTTTTAATGGTATTGTAACTAAACAAAGAAAATTTTCAAATGTTATACAATTCAATTTTCAATCTGTTTATTGTTAAATAAAATTTATTAAAATTATTTAAGATCCTTACAAAAAGAAATAGCAACCCCATGCACCACCAGATCCTAGAACGTTTGGCGTTACACCTCTGTAAAGTCCTCTCACTCCTTCAGTCTTAACAATCTGCATAACCGCGCTTTTAAGACTTTTGTATTGTGGACCCACGCGTGAGTGGCCATCGCTAACTATAAAAAAGAGAGGCAGGATGATGAATAAATCTTATGTTTATTCGATCAAATACAAAGTTGGACAAACAGGGCATAAGAAATTGATATTAAATTTTCTTAAATGATAACATTGTCCTGAAAATGTTCATCAAGTCTTTCTCGCTCAACTTGATAATAATGAAGAGGGACCAAAAGATAAGTAAAGTCTAATTATGTATTTTTTCTTTAATCACGCGTCGACAGAAAGTTTATCTAGCAAACTTGTTGCAACTTCAACCTCGTGACACCATTGATTTCCATTGAAAGTCATATTTTATTTTTAATTGCATTGCAACATTCGCTAAACCATTTTAAATAAACATAAGTTTAATTCGTGTAAAAAATGATTCTTCATTCATTTTCATGCGTTATTATAAGATATTGTTACGATAAATTATATGTATATTTGTAAACATATTATATAGCCAGTAGGAATGAAAACTTTTAAA